GGGGGCGAGATTAGGAAGGAAGTTATCACCCAACCAGCCTGATATCTGCACTACAGCTGAAACACAGCTCTATCTTTTTTTTCTTTTACAGTGGGGTACCAAGAGTAATCTTACCTATAAAATGTACAATTACTGCTGATTTTAAAAAAATGATTTACATTTGTTTGATTTTTACATTTGTTAAATTCAGTGTGTCGTCTAAAAGTTCATATACTATTTTATGACTTGTATTTACCAATTATTTAGAGACAAAAATAACCCCAAGACTTGTGTTAACAACAGCAGGATGGCATTTCTGACAGGTGTTGGCTTATTGCGCCTCTGTGAAGTGCTTCTTGCCTCTTTGTCGGTTGTGGGTCCCCTGCCCTTGGAGCCCTGAGCGCACCTGTCCCTACCTACCCACCTACCAAATGTCTGTATCCTCGGGAAATGCACCGGCATAGAGGGAGCTACTTTTAAAACATTACTTTCTTCTACTTTGGTCAAGTGCTACTCCAGGCAACCATGGGTGAGGTTTGAATGTTAGTTTTCCTAGAGCAAGGCATTTTCAGGGCAGTGGTATGGCTGGGTAACTTACATGATGGACAGCTCTTTATATTCACAGCTGGTAGCAGCGTACAGTTCCCTCTCACATGCGTGGAATTCAGTATCGTAGAGCTTGGAGGGACTTGAGAGACCATTTATCCACTCCCTGTATTTTACAGGGGAGGAAACCTGGTCCCAGCAAGAGAAACGACTTGCCCAGTGATCTGCGAGTTGGCACAGTGCTGGACCAGACCCTGTGTCTCCAGCATCAATGTGTGATGTAGTCAAGAGCCAAGGGGGGTGGGGCTCTTAGCCTAGGCGTGGGTGCTTTTGGCTGCTGCATCCAGGTGCTCAGTCTAGGGTCCTGATAAAGTTGTTCACTTCCATTTATTTACAAAGCTGTTTATCTCATGATATATCATAGCGAGTGGAGTTCTGCTGAAAGCAACACATCTTTTTAAGATGAAAGCACTGCATATCCAAAAGATTTTCTTTGAATACTCATGTCCTATGACCGGAGGCAGCAGCATCCATTTTGGCCAATAATACTGTTAGCATCAGTCTGTCGGAGATGGCTTTCTACCAGGAGCATTCTGAGTTCTGTCCTGGGAGTCTCCACTGGGCTTTTCTCTAGGGCATATGATCACGTAGGAGCCCGGATAATGCCAAGAAGGATTGTGTACTTACCCAAAAGATCACTGGAGAATTTCTGTGAAGGTGAATTTTCATTTTTTAATGACATGAAAGTGTAGAATTGGCTGCCGATGGTAACAGCCAGTGTTCATTAAGTGTGCCAGGAACCTTGTGAAGATTTGGTGTCTACCAGCTCAGTCGATGGATTGAATCTTCACACCTACTGTGTGAGTAGGATCCTGTTACTGCCCTGCCCCCTTTATAGTGAGGACACTGAGGCACGGAGAGGTAAGGAACTTGGCCTTGCCCACATGGCTCCGTAAGTGACGAAGCCAGGACAGAGAGCTCGGAGATCTGCCTCTTGACCCACGTGGCGTTTGTCATTTAAACTGCACGGCGTAGTGCATGGTGAGTTGCGTTCGCCGGGTCCCTCTGAGCGCTGTGGTTTTTCTCTGCTCACCCTCGGTTGTGCTTTCTGCGGCTCCTAGATGCCTCACACCTACTAACGATCCCGTAGCTTTGCTCACACTGATCATTTTCTCAGCTCGAATGACCCTTCCTCCAAATTCTCCATCTGTCAACTTTCCCATTCATCTCACACTGAACCACACATCTGAAAAACCGTTTTGGTCCCCAAGTCAGAAACAGTCTCTTCCCTCCACCCCAAGTCTCAGCCCAGGTCTCACAGAATGCGTGTGAATTTGTACACATCAGTGAATTCGTTCTGCCTTAGAGTCAAGGTATTTGTTGATGCGATGGCCCCTCCCTAGTTGTACCCCAAGAGAAGTACAGGCACACCTCGGAGATACTGAGGGTTCAGTTCTAGGCCACTGCGACGAAGCGAGTATCACAGCAAAGTGAGCCGTAGTCTTTTTGCTGGTGAAGGGTCTTCCCTTCAATTTGTATTTAAAAAAAAAAAAAAAATCTATGAAGTGCGGTAAAGCAAAGTGTGATCACATGAGGTCTGCCTATACCATGTTGTGCCCACATGTCGTTCACATGGGTATTTTCTAAAATTATTCGTTGGTCAAATAAATGAAAAGAAGACATACCAGCAATAGTATTCTTGATTAATAAACTTTCCCTCATAAGTGATGAATATTTGGAAACATTTTTTAAAGGAAATATTTCCAAAATGTCTAACCTTACTGCGCCTTTGGGAGGACAGCCTAGAGAAGAATGTAATTGACTTTCTTCAGTGATGGTGGATTGTCATGCCCTCAGCAGTTTACTGTGGATTAGATGGATCGATCAGCTCCTTATTCAGGTGCCTGCTTTGTACTGAGCAATGTTCTTAGCACCAAGGGTACAATGGTGAGCAAATCCGAGTCTCCAGTCTCATGAGCTTACATTCTAGAAGTGGTAGGTAATAGCCTAGTAAATAAATAAATAAACAGGATAATTTCAGAGAGCAGTGAAAGGGGGGAAGATAAATGAAGATGCCGTGATAGAGAGGGATAATGGGAGGCTGATGATGGCGATTTGGGATGCACTGTCTGAGCGGATGTGACCCTGGGTGGCAAAGTGGAGGGAGCCGTGGCCTCTGGAGCCAGAGCTGTCCAGCAGAGGGTCTTAGTAGGGCAGGATCGGTGTGATGCGTGCACCAGACAGGCGAGGCCAGCACAGCTGGAGGAAGGCGTGAACAGGGACTGGTTCACTTTGAGGCAATAGGCAATTCACAGCTAGATCCCGTTTGACCTTGTAGGCTATAAAAAAGAATTTTCAGTTTATTATAAGCAAAGTAGGAAGCCATCAGGAGTTTAAAGCAGGAAATGGTGTAAACAGACAACATTTCAAATATAAATGCATGTACACACACCCCTGATATAAAAAATTGGTCATACTGTGGTTTATCTCTGTTGTTAAAAAGTAAATATTTCAAATTGCGTTTCATTAAAGAGTATATGTATTTGAGGTCTTACTATGGATTTATAGTATTTAAAAGTTAATGGAATTATAACATTTATTTTTCTAATTTCCTGCTTGCTTTGACCAACTCATTTTGCAATCTTTTGGTTTCTCTCAAAAATGGTTAAATGTCATCACACATTCATTGCTTCTTGAAATAAGCACCAGCCAGAACGATCTCTATGGAGAAGATAATCTTTCAATTATCTTAGGCCGATGACATGATACTTTACTGTTAAAAATAAAGTAAAATTACCTTCTCAGATTAGATCTTACAGATTTTCCTGTTAACTCCATTTTTAGGTTTTCTGAATCACAGTGACAAGAAGGCACCAATGACCTTGGTTCTCTGACGTTAATGAGTGTGTGAGATTGAGGCCTCCACCCTGCAGTTAGAAATTACACTTGGCAACGATGGCTATAATTTTGTCATTTGTCTAAGGCTGGGCTTGGCTCCTAAAAACTGATGTCGATAGTGACATCTAGTGGATCTCGCATAGATAAGGTTCTGTGACCTATGTAATGTTTAATTAATTGTCAAGTACTGGTTGAGGAACCAGCTCCGCCTGTAACATAAGCACATTCTAAAATACGGAAAAGCACCCTCTGCCATCCAGTGTAGCGTATCTCCAAATGCAAAGCATCAGGAATATTGAAACCTACTTTTTCTTCCTGTAGACAGAGGACCCGACCATGGAGCGACCCTACACATTCAAGGATTTCCTCCTCAGACCGAGAAGGTGAGGCCTCAGGGGCAGGCACCTTTACGTTTGGTTGTTGGTTTTCTCTGAGGAAGAGTCGACTTCTTTTCCTGTTTCATCTTTTTCAAAAGTCATCGTAAATATGAAAGCTGTAACCACGTCATGTCCTTTATAACCATTTTTCTTCCATCACGCAGTCATAAATCTCGAGTTAAGGGATTTTTGCGATTGAAAATGGCCTATATGCCGAAAAACGGAGGCCAGGATGAAGAAAACAGTGAGCAGAGAGATGATATGGAGGTAAGCGGCAGAGCTTTGGGCCTTGGTCTCTCATCCCAGCCTAAGATCATACTAACATTCTACCTTAAGACTTTATAATTTAAAGAAGTTAAAGTTTATAAAGCTTAAATATGAAAAAACTTAAAAGTACCCAGGAATCTGTCTTTGACAATTTACCGTCTTTGTTTTTTAATAAAAAAGATGGAACTTTTTGTTTTGTGCTAAAATGCTAATAACTGACGGGGTTTCTCTGGATCAAATGCCGAACCCATATTTTATTCCTAGCCCCAGCCCTATGTGAAATTCTCACATATTCTCATTGCTTTGGACTTTCAGCTCTGTAAATTCCTTTTAGCCCTTGGAATTGCTTCAAAGTAGATAGAGTGATTAAGAAAATCTTTTCCAGGTTTCTTACACATTTGGTGCACAGGTGATACATGCACGAGGAGAGCTTTTCTCTAGAAATGCCATGTTGGAATTAGCTGTCCAGAGGAATTTTCTTTGTTTTCCTCCTGGCATAACTGCCTGTTGACTTTCTTGTCACATACCTCCCCCGTAGGTCCCATTGTCCCTTAGCACACCCTTCAGACAGTGCTGTTTTGTTAGATGGAGTCCAGGCTCATCTTGTTCTGAAAATGTTCATTAAACAAGGCTTCTCTATGGCTTATTTGCACATCTGTTTGCAGCTGCTGGATATATGTGATACGTGAATAATGTGTTATGGGCAAGTTAACCAAACCTCCCTCAGACCAAGAGGTCATGTTTCCAGGCAATATTTCATTTGTGAGCTTTCATCTCTCGATGTGAAGAGTGAAGTGGGTGGTAGACAGTCATGAATGTTAAGATTTCATAAGCACATCAACAGATTTTTATCTCAAATCCCAGGAATTTTTTACACTCTTCTAGCCTTCCAACAGCAGTCACCAGTGAATTACTTAATTTTCCAGTGACTTTACTAGGGGATGTTAGGAAGGAATACTTAATGCCTAAAATATGTGTTGCAAAATGTAACTCTAACTCTGGTACCGTGAAGCCTGTTTATGTGGCGGTAGCCGGTAGGGAGTTTCTAAGGAGAAAGCTGCAGCTCCTCAACTTCTTCTGGCTCCCATGACTGTGCTAGACGCAGAGCAGGAGCTGTACCTCCAAAACCAGCCTCAGAACCACCCTCCTGGTCACTCGTGCCGTGGACTCTGTTGGAACACCCATCCAGTTCAGCTTATCTTCCCAGCTCCCTTTTACCTTAGGGAGGTGTTAAAAAGACAACAGCTGTAACATGGCCCATGTCCTTGCCACGGCTTTGAACAGCCCTGGAGGCCCTCGGGTTAAAATAACAAACGTGAAATGTGGAAAGAGTATGCCGTGACTTAAGTAACCTAGCAGACCGTACATACCCATCCGCCTCTGTCGCTCCCTGTCACACAGCCGTCACAGAAGGCAGCACAGTCGATGGGCCACGGCTCCACATATTGTTAAGCCTCTGCTAGGATTCATTTCTTTGCCCCTTTTTGGGGGACTTTCTTCACACGTGGCGCGTGAAGTTAGTGCAAGAGCGAGAATGCAACGGAGCGAGGAAGGCCGCGGACCGCACGGCATGTCCCCTCTCCCACCTGAGGGACCCGCCTCATGACCCGCCTTTTGATTTTATTCCCCAGCACGGGTGGGAAGTTGTTGACTCCAATGACCCGGCTTCTCAGCACCAGGAGGAGCTGCCTCCGCCTCCGCTGCCCCCAGGCTGGGAAGAAAAAGTGGACAACTTAGGTCGCACTTACTATGTCAACCACAACAACCGGACCACCCAGTGGCACCGACCGAGCTTAATGTGAGTACCGTACGGTGGCTGGGAGCACATCCTCACTCTGCGCAGCAAGGTCCGAGCCCGGCTGCCCTTGGGGACGGGCATGGGAAACCAGGCCTCTGTCTGGTTTGTGAGCTTTCCTCGGGTCCTGTAGTGCCATGGGGCCCCCCCGATTCGGGAAAGAAGAGTGTGGGAGCCTGTCAGAATCGGCGTGTTGTAGAGCCTGTTCCCGTGTGTCAGGTTCTGCTGTTTGAAATATGAAGTAATTTATTTCCTGTGTCTTCTTTATAGAGATTCATGAACTACAGGGCAGGGGTTATTGTGTTTCCTAGATCTATCATGTGTGTGGTGATGATAGCACTTCCCTCTTCAGCTTTAACTATAAAGCTCGCATGATAAACCGAAAGAGGAGACAGCAAGCAAATCGGCTTTGCGGTTTTCTCTCTTCCTTAAGGTTTTGGATATTTATTTCCTTTAATTGTTTGATTTGGCAACCCTCTCAAAAAACTTTTGTTTTTCCTTTTTTGGGAAATTTATATATCGCCCCCTTGATATAATTAGGAGCACATGGGAGGGTTGCAAACTCAGAATTAGTAATTACTGTTTGTTCTAATCCCTCCCCAGCCTCAGGGACGCAGCAAACTGATTATTGTTTTGTTTACTTGGCAATTTTTGGTTTCATGATCACAAATAAACACTACTTAAACCTCAGCTACTATAAAAAAAAAAAAAAAGGATTTCAAGGAGCTTCTTTTTTAAGATCATAGTATATAGGAAGACCTAAAACTATTAATAGGCAATACAAGGCAAAAACAAAGTATTAAAGGAAAAGGAAAAAATTATCCTAGAAATCACGAGCTTCCTGGAAGCTAAGAGATGGAGGTCATTGTCAATTAATGATATAATTTATAAAAAGCCAAGTATTAGGTGAGATCATTTTCTCTTTAATCCAGACTCTGAAGGAAATTTGCTAATGATGTTTTTGAAACACGTGGTATCAGCAGTGTCATGATGGCCGGTTGTGTTGATAACCCTTTTATCTTTAGAAATTGCAGAAAGATATTCTGCGTATGACTCTGGGTGGGGAACGTGGCCAAGAAATTTGGACTGGGCTTTGTTTGATTTAGAGAGAAAGCTGGCAGAATCTGTAACGATAGCCAATCCTTCCTACGTCCCCAAGTGGGTTCTTGTGAATATCAGTTGTCCTCGGTCAGCTTTGGACTGCCCAACGTAGATGTCAGCTTGTCAGCAGCGTAAATATCTGAACATGGGGATGATGCTGAACTCTTGTTGTAGTAATCTTTTTCCCATGGAAATGGTTTAGTTGGTTCTTTAAATTTTTATTTTATTTTATTTGTTGACTATTTCCCTTTAATGACCATAGCTATTAAAACTATTGTAAGCCATTTGACTACTACTCTAGCTATTTGTAGTAAAAAAAAAAAAAAAAAAATTGAACTCATCTCGGACTTGGTTACAGGTAGTGATCAGAAGAATCTTGGTACCAATACCCTAAGCAAAGCACCATTATCTACCTTTGCCAAACATCATAAAAAAAGGAATACCTGAAAACATAGCACTCTGTGGGGACCGGCGTGTCATCTGACTTCTGTAGAAAAGTGACCATTCTTGACTGACAAAGGAGGAAATACTAATGGCCAATACAAACATGGAAAGATGTTTGCCTTCATTAATGTTTATACAGACTGAAGTCTATGTTTGGGGGGGGGAAATGGAGGCAATTGCTACTTTCTCTGCCTCACAGAATTATGAAACTAATGAGAGAATTCCTGAGAAAACACTTCATATGTTTTTCTAAACATACCGTCTTTGGTGGCAGTGTCCCAAGGAACTAAACCAAAACAAAAGATAGAACTTGTGTGATGCTGGCTCATCGGTAGTCCAGAGGCCACACGGGGAAAATGCTGTTCTTCATCCAAGTTGGGGTTCACAGGCAGTTGAAGGAGAAGTCAGTGACTTGACTGTCCCCATCCGTGAGGCAGCTGTGCCGAGAGGAGGAGCTAAGCCAGGAAGGGCATCAGCAGAACTGGGTGGAATTCGGGGAGTGCCTCTTTTTCAACAATTGTGACTTCTAGAAAGCAAGAGAAAAGTTAGATAAGGAAAGCTGGTTTCCACGACGACCACCTCATCCCATCTGAACTATTGGAGCATTTGGGGATCTTTCCCCTTAACCTTACTTGGCTTGGCCAGAAGCCCTCAAGCCTTCCAGAATTAAAGAATTGTTTTAATTCAAAAATATTGGTTTTCATAATTCAGTTTTCACAGAAATACTACTGTTCTCTTTGGAGGAAAACGATACTAAGTGTCTTTATTAAAAGGCCGTATCTGAGGAGATCAGACATGTGCTAAGCAAAGAATTAAGACTCTCCTGCTGACTCATTTCTTAACCAGTTTACTACAGACTTGTGTCTAAAACTTTAAGCCCCTGAAAATTTTTCACCCTGAAAAATCTCAGTGCCTCCAGGCCGTTCTTACAAGGTCCTACTCCATCCTGTCTCTTCCAGACTCGCCACCCATCGTCATAAACAGGAGGGGCATGGAAGGGACCCGATCGTGCAAGCTGCTTTCCAATTTCCCTTCTTCCTTAGCCTCGTGGTTGTGCTACCTCCCCTTTTCCCCCCCAAAAAGCAAAACAAACCCAGAACACGCCTTTTCTCCTGGCTGCCTTCCAATGTCAGCCCTAACGTGCCTTCCTCTGCCCGGGTCTCTGAGCGCCTTCTGCTCCTTCCGTCATGGCACAGAGCACATAATATCCCAATTCCCTGTTTGAGCACGGACTGTTCTTTCTTATTCACAGATCTGCCCCTTGCACCTGGCACAACGTAGGAGCTCAACACATACCTTTTAACTGAATCAATGACTACAAATGAATCACTTCTGAAAGTGATTATAGGCACGTGGTTTAGTGGAATGTCTAGGGCGGGTTTAGGCCTGAATGTACTACTTAGTACTTTAGAGCAGAAGGCGACCATGGAAGATTCTCCAGCCCTCTCAAATCTGATGGTGACCTTTAAAACACCCTTAATTTTAGATTTGTCCTTATCCTATTTAAATATAAACTGTAAACTTTTTACTGTAAAAGCCATAAATTTTTTTAAATAGTGGGGAGTTATATTAAGACTGTAAATGAACATGAACTTGTTTAACTCAAACCCTTATTTTAACTCTTTTTATTAGCTCTCCTTCTAAAACATTTCATACTTATTCTCCCATCTTAGCAATAATTTAGTTATATCTAGGCAACTCAGACCGTAATTACAGTCACTAATGTATATGAATGTAAATGATATGACACACTGATCTTAATTGGCACTGAACTTGATAAATTTGTGTTTTTTTCTCATCTCTATTCATTTGTTTAGTTCCCATGAAAGTCAAATGAAGAATATATGCGTGAAATTAATGCCTGAAATAGCCACTTCTTAATTTTTTTCTTGCCCCCAATAAAATCATCGTCCTGTTTTGTCAGAGTAGAAGTATTTTTACATGTTCATGTTCCCTTTAACGACCATTTATACTCACAGTCAGTTTCAACAGCTTCCATTCCAAAGGTTCTCATTTAGTTGCTTAATTAAATGCAAAAGGCCTCATGGTGTGAACATTTTCATTTTATCACTAAAGGCATAAAAGCCTGTGGTTGGAATTTCAAAATCAGAGGTATCTTGCTTCTTTATGCTATTTAGTTGTTTTTGGATCACACTGATTACTCATTAATGGAGCACGTTAGGTAAGGAAGATTGGCATAATTGATTGTAAATGCCCTTTAAAAAAAAAAAAATCGGTCCTTCCAAAATAATGGAATTCTGTATGCTCCTGAGAGATACAAAATGCAGACATGGCAATATGAAAACCATATTCTTTTCAACCTCATCCTCTCAGAAGTCCCTGTCACAGTGCAGGTATGTGTTAGGACCTGGTGCAGAGTCTGTGCACAAACATTTGTCACCCAGTGTTGACTGAATAAATGATGACTGATATTTCAAGTGAAGATTTAAAATTTTGATGACAGTTACATAAAATGTTTTTAAGTAAGGCCAGTCATCATAGAGCGAGATGCTTTCATCCTCAATAAAAAATGAAAGAGGATAATGTAAAATTTCCTTTGCCTTCTTAGATATTACTGAAATATTTTATGTATTTCATAAAGGCAGTTTGATCTTCTAATTTTTTGTGTTCTATAATATCTTATCATTACTTTTTATAATCATTTTGGGCTTAAGATGTGCAAGTCACATAAAAATGACTGCAGCAACATAAAATCACAAATAACAATATTATATTTTCTGACATTTGGTTTTGGAGGTTTCAGAAATTTTATTAGCATACTTGTGTGTCCCTTGATTTTAATTATTTTTTATATGGCCATAATTATGTCAGTTTCTCTGACAGTATCTCTATTTAATGCACTGTTTTTGTCTAGATATATTTTAATATGACTGTAAAATATGCAGGATACATATTTCTGTTAGAGTTCAAAAGTTTATCTTGGGTATGCAGACACAGTAAAACTTCAATAATTCAGATTTTCATAATAATTATCATTTTAATACAGATTAGATGGAAACTAACCTTCATACTACTCCTTTTACCAGTAAAGTTAATCGTGTAAAGATGTTTGTTTGAAGTACTTAAACTATCTCAGAAACTGGCTTTAAAAAGTCACCTATTTATTTGCATACAAATGTTGTTAATTGCAAATTTGTCACTATTCGGGGGCCCAACAGACTCTTTATTGGGATATAGTATTAGTCTGGAACTGTATTAAAATGTTTTAAAACCTATGTTTTAGGAAGACTCTATACCAAGGGCCCTTGATTAATACTATATTTTAATTAGTCTAAAATAATGTTTTCACATATTTTGAAATATTAATGTGTGACATCATTTTTGTTAAGTGACTATGGTGTCTTATCTAAAGAGTCAGAGCGTTTTCTCTGAAAAACATTTGGACATTTAAACTTCTAGTCTGAAAGCCTCCAAGTAGTGTTTCTCCAGAAGGATGATTGCCTGTAATTTACTACAAATTTTCAAGATAGAATCAGTGCTTTCAGATCCCAAATTAAGAGAGTTATATGATGAAAAAAAAAATAGAGTACGAAGTTGCAGTGTTCTTCAAATCGCAGTTGATTTGGGAGGTTATTGCCAGATGCTTGTGTGAATGTTTAAAAGTAGTTTAACAGGGGGACATGCAGCGTGTCATGATTCTGAGCCTCTATCAAAATGAGATCCACAGCAGCCCCCAAAAAATTCATATTGGGGCAGGAGCACTTTTCTGCAGATCCCAGCCTTGAATTTGTACTATGTACCTTTTTTGGTCTGTTGTTAGTGCCCAAAAGTTGCCTTCTTGTCATTGCTAGACTCCCAGAAGGGTCACTACTGAGTGGTCATGTGTGTGAGCTTCCTGTCACCTCTCTTTAGAAAGGCTTGACATCACTGGGGCAAATAGACAGAGGACTTTGATTTCTTTTCAGTACCACAGTGCATTTTGAAGTATATGCCTGAAAGATGCCCAAAATATTGTGACTGATGATTTAAAAGCTGTATTTATTTGATCGAAACAAACCTAGAGCTATACTTTAGCCAAAATACAGCGGAAGAATTCTCGTATGTAAAGGCCCACTATAATTGTTCGTTTGTTTAACTTACGAGCACTGGCATTTTAGTAGGTGTAAAGCCCATGGTGAGCTTTGGACTCTCGCTGAAGGGCCACCTATCGACACCAATTCTCCTGTCTCGCATCCCCTCACCCCTCTCTCTCAGGGACGTGTCCTCCGAATCGGACAGCAACATCAGGCAGATCAACCAGGAGGCAGCACACAGGCGCTTCCGCTCACGCAGACACATCAGCGAGGACCTGGAGCCCGAACCCACCGAGGGCGGAGAGGGGCCCGAGGTACGCGTCCCCACTGCCTCCAAACTCCGCAGCTCCTCCCACCTGTCCGACTCGATTCTGTGTCATCATTTCTTGGTAAAAGCTGTCTAAAAAATAAAGCTTGGATCCTCATAGCTAATTGACAGCCATTGGGAGATTAATTTAGCAAGTGCTCATAAAAGCCCTGTTTGATGAATACATGTATCTATATCATTACAAAAGGGAACAACATTATTTTTAGTATGGAAATCGTAAGATCTTTCATTCTGTAATTTTTCTCTGCCCAGAGTCTAACCACATCTTATTAGATGGCAACATGGTTATCATATTGGAGCAATGAATGAGCTCTGTGACTTGTCTGGGTACCAAATGCAAGCTCTTACTGAGTACTTTTGATGTCGCAAAAGATATTTATTACCTAGAAAATGCAAATTTGGGTGAATCAAAATGTTTTATAGTTTCCTCCTATAATTTCGATAAATTACCAAGGAGAAAAGTTATGAAGAAGATGGCAACATGGTTATCATATTGGAGCAATGGATGAGCTCTGTGACATGTCTGGGTATCAAATGCAAGTTCTTACTGAATACTTTTGATGTCGCAAAAGATATTTATTACCTAGAAAATGCAAATTTGGGTGAATCAAAATGTTTTATAGTTTCCTCCTATAATTTCGATAAATTACCAAGGAGAAAAGTTATGAAGAACAAGTTAGCAATTACCATAACTTCCATGCTGCCTCAACAACCGTTTACTTACTAGAAATCCATTAAGGACGTTGTGTTAGGAAGAATATCATTTACGTAATGTTCCAGCAATCAAAATTGGAAAGGCAAAATTAATGATTACATAATAAATTTACTAAAAGGTACTTTATACCAGTGTTTAATTAACGTTTATAGCATCCGGTCTTTTTTCATGGGGAAACTTCAGCAGTCAGAGTGAAAGAAAATCCGTGAAAATCATGAATGAGTTGCTGAGAATATTTTTTAACCCATGCATATAGCAACAAGTGCTGAAAGGAAATCATAGTTCAGAGAAGTGGTACTATGAAGTGGGTTAAGAGCACAGCCCCCGGAAGCAGGCAGGTTCTGGCCCTGCCTCTTCCTAGCTCTGCTACCTTGGGCAGATCACCCTCTGGGCCTATTTCCTCATCTGTTCGTTAAGTAGTAGTCATATCTTCCTGGTGGTTCTTGAGAAGATTGTGTGCCTCCTTAGTTCTCAGTAAATATTAATTATAGTTATCATAATGGTCATTGCTGGGGAAGGGACGAGAGGATCCCTCGTTCCTAGCATTTACCCCAGCATCTCATTCCTTGGTAGCCTTGGGAGACCATTTCAGAAGAAGTGGCCGTCACTGGAGACTCCCTCAGTCTGGCGCTGCCCCCACCGCCATCCTCCCCAGTGTCTCGGACCAGCCCTCAGGAGCTGTCTGAGGAACTGAGCAGAAGGCTTCAGATCACTCCGGACTCCAATGGGGAGCAGTTCAGTTCTTTGATTGTAAGTAATAGTCTTGTTTGGAGGAGAAGCTGAGCAAATATTTTTATCATTTCTTGTTGCTTTAAGAGAATCTTGCATGCACAAAATGACCAAGGGTCTGCCAGCTCCCAGATAGCTCTGACATTTTTCCAAATTCCTTCTAACCTAGGAGAAGCAGGACTACACCAAAATTAGCCCAAGCAGGTGGGAATCTTTCTTGATTTATAAAGAACTCAGAAAGTAGGAGTCCATGACTTCTATAATTATCAGCTTTACATTTGTAGCATTTCTTTTCCCAGCCAGGGGCTCATAAAAAGTACTTTGTGAGAGGTGGTATTTTGCACTGGGATGTAGGAGATGCTGGGTCTCCTAATCGATCCTCTTGAGTCATACTCTGCGTGCGTTATCACCTCATTGCACAGATGAAGGCATGGTTTTTAAGTGACCGGTCCAGGACAGGGTTAGAATGGGAGAGAGAAGATGTCTGCTAAGTCCCAGAGGATGAATCTTTGAGAAAGGTTGTGGAATTGAGACACTGACATCATGGTAGCATTTGCACTTGGGTTCTCAACCATCAAGGACACTCTTCCTGGAAGCTTCGCATGGGGCTAAGCCCCTAGGAGAAGCAGCAGAATCAGCCATGAAGACATCTATGTTTGACAATCCAAAACTGTGCAGAAAAGCCCATAGAAAAGGCCTGCTTGTGCATATAAAATCGAGAACAAACGCAACGTCAGTGTTTCTTAAGAACTTGAACTTAAAGATGTACTGTAGTAAATAAAAATGGTGGTGGTGACTCCACTGAAAATGTCATCCTAGAAAAATAGCCGTTATTACAACCATATCAAATGTAAAGAAATGGGAAGACTGCATAAAATATAAGAGCAAGCAAATACAAAATCGTTACTCCTTCAGTTCTAATGTTTGTATTTAAAAAGACACCATTGGCCCATGTTGTATGAGTTGTAGTGACTACTTACTTATGTGGTTTTATATTAAAATTCTGTGAATGTTTTTCAGAAAGAGAACTACCACGAGATGAAAATGTAGTGCCTAAAGGGGCAGGAAAAAAAAGAGTATGCATATATGGGGTATTTGAATTGGTCAAACCATTTCTGCAGAAACAACATAAGCAATGAAGCCATATGTTTAAAACCTATGAAGGGAAGGAAGTTTACTGCATGAGTTATAGCAATACTGATTGGATCTGTTAGACTTTTTTAAAAACCATGTAGATCAGGAGTCCCCAACCCCTGGGCCGAGGACCAGTCTCAGTCCCTGGCCCATTAGGAACCAGGCCGCGCATCAGGAGGCGAGTGGTGGTCGAGCGAGCAAAGCTTCATCTGTATCTGCAGCCGCTCCCCAGCGCTAGCATCACCACCTCAGCTCCACCTCAGATCATCAGGCATTAGATTCTCATAGGAGCACCGGTCCCTGGTGCCACAAAGGTTGGGGACTGCTGAGAAGACAAGTGAGAAGAACATTATACGTTACACATTAGGTTTATTAGGTTAAGCTCACTATTTTCCCTAATTTCTTATCCGTACAACCTCAACTCCATTGAGAAGCTAAAATTATAAATACCCGATCCTTTAGAAGTAGTAGCATTAATTATATTTGAGTTTCTGTAGCCAAAGAATCCAGCTGGTTCTTTGCCAATGACAATAATAATCATATGTGAGTATTTCTTCCTCTATTTGTCTCACATAAGAATTTACCTAGAGGTCACATCCTAGACCAGAGTAGAAAAGACTTCCCAGCTTCTTATTTCCGTTTTTAAAGCACCCCTACAGTGTTACGGTGGCCTGTCGAGTCCCCTTTCATTTTTTGACCCCGTTCTCTTATTTTTTGGTGTTATTTCTAACTAGAGGCCAGTTAAAACCTCAGTCTATTTAAAACACTGAGAATGAAAGTGGACGATAACTTGACTCCTTAAAGGATTACGCTCGTTACTCTGAAAAGAGGATGCTGCGTTTAAGAGCGGTGAATAGGATTGGTATGTTTTTTAAACCAATGGAAGCTTTCTCTAAGCATACGTTTTCTTGATGCTTCATGTCCTTTCTTCCCCTTCAGCAGAGAGAGCCCTCCTCGAGGTTGAGGTCGTGCAGTGTCACCGACGCGGTCGCTGAGCAGGCCCATCTACCACCGGTAACCCACGCTCATTTCCCACCCTGTTACTTAAAATCATGGGCTACTGAAAATGCGGCTTTTCCTTAAAATCATCGGGGCTACTGGGGAAGAGTTTTTCCTGTGCAAACCCACTTACCATATAAACAAGACATTCTAATTTCCTAGCAAATTGCCCCAGGAGAGTGAATTTGTGATACAAAGATTTGTCGTTGCCACCAAAAGTCTCTGAAAGGGTAAAAATTTCATTAGTTTTTCACCCAAATTAATACCAGTTCTGATGTGCTCACTTGACTTTAAACTACTTAACTACTTAACTGTTTTAAACTACTTAAAAACATATATTAATAATTGCTTTTTAAAAAAAATACTTTAGCTGTAATTCAGTGACCTGTGTTTTAAGAATGTACCGAATCCTTTTAAACAGGAAGAACTCTTCTGGGTTGTCTGCAATGTTCCTTTCTGTAACTAACGGCCCAAACTTTAAACTCCACAAAGCCTCTGTACCTTCTCTCTGAAGGCAGCTCTCTGCTGACTAAAGAATTAGCTCTAATTTGTTTCTACTCTCCCCCAATTTTTGTAACTAGCAGCAAATATGGAAGTGTGAGGGGTGTTTAATAATATAGGGCATATATAAAAATGAATATTCAAATTGGATGGCAGACCAGAACTGCCTGGGGAGATGTTTGGTGTACACATTAAAAACAAGAAACGTTATTATGTAAATTCATTCCTTCTTCTGGAGGAGAAAATATGTGGTTTTAGCATTTTCAAGTTGATATTTGACCATAACCAATTTTTTTATGACTATGAATCTTCAATCATTTATTATGTGTGAAAATGAAGGGGAAAAAAGTAAACTTACAGGTTTTGAAAGCACAGTGTCTTCCCTATTGTATACATTTTTGCACAACTCAAAAAGATATTTTTTGCCTGGGCGTTAGTCTTTTATGTTTACAATGCGAATTAATGAGTACACTAGTCAACTGAGTAATTAAAATAATAGATTCATTTGGGGGTTATGTCAAATGTGCTGGTTGAGAAGAAACTTGACAAGCACGTCCTTTCTGGGATGGTTTCATTATGGGCCTCCCCCAAAACAGAACGATCAGCTGTGATGATGGACTAGTGGGTCCTCTTCAACCTCATGATTCTGTGATTTTCTTGATGAATTAATGGCACTTCTTCTCCTTTTCAAAATCAATGTCAATTTTATTTGCCAAAGAGCTCCTTTTCCTGGAAACTGATGATTCCTCCCTCTTTCCTGGTACTCTATAAAGCTGTAAACTCACTGATTACCAGTGGTCTCTTAACTTGAAGTTCGAGTCTGGCAGATTTAAGAATCTGCTAATTATTTAACAGCAGGGGCAAAACCATAGCGGTTTTCAAAAATTTTTTTTAATATGACATCTCATGCTATTATTATTGAGGTTGTCAATTCATCGTTCACCCAAATCAGACATCTCTGGGTGAGAGGGTGGTGGTGGTCCTATTTTTCTTCTGGTCATCAGTGCGTGCCCAGCTTTACCTGGACAGAGTGGAGCTCAAGGTTCTGATTTCATGTCACCTGCCTTACTGGCTGCAACAGCAGTGATTCTTGATTCAGTAAACAATGGGTGGTCTCCCTAAGTGCATTTCACTGATGTAAATTATCATTCAACAGCCCAGTGCCCCAACTAGGAGAGCACGTTCGTCAACTGTCTCGGGTGGTGAGGAGCCAACGGTAATGATACCCTTGATTAGACTTCAATGGCAAACCCGTGGGTTGGTTTTAATACCTTGCATAGTGGTGAATGTACTCTTCTTTTTTTGATGAAATCAGAAAGCATTTTTGTGCTAGGGATGCACATGGTTCTTATTTTAAACTTCTCACTTTCACATTGTTCAAAGGTACTGAGTAAAATAGACATTTTTAGTCTCATATAGTTTTGTTAGGAGTACTGTCAAGCTTCGGTCAAGTGTGTTTCATTTGATCACTTAAAATATATTGCCATTTAGTGTTTATACTTCCGATGAGCTTTTACCGTTTATTAGAATGCTTGGGTAAATGAATTTGGTCGGAAGAGAATCGGGGAGGCCAGAGGAATTGAATGCGATCGTACGTGTGTGGGTTCTCAGTTGCGCACAGGGCTCTCTCTTGTGTGTTTTCTATACCACACTTTAAACGCTGGATTAGCTTTTCTGTATCACGACCATGAACCCGTGACCCTTCTCTGCTACTGGGGGCTTTACTCACAAGAACGAACAAGTCTTCATATACTTGTGGGGAGGGCAGAGAGGGAACATATTTAAAAAGTTTAAGAGGTCTAGAAAAAATGGGTGTTTCTCTAAGTTAAGTGTCTGCTGTTCTTATTCATCATTTTAAATAACTTCTAGTATTCATGTTTGTGGGTTGCTCGGATTTCACTATGTATCAGCTCAAGGTTCTGATTCATGTCACCTGCCTTACGGGCTGCAACAGCAGTGATTCTTGATTCAGTAAACAATGGGTGGTCTCCCTAAGTGCATTTCACTGATGTAAATTAATTGCTTGTTTTCTACTTGATCCCTAAAGATAGGTTAGCTTAGAGTTTACGCTTTTTGAGCTGCGATAGCTATCTGAAGAATTTTTCTTATTGTTTCACCTTTATTACATTTGTTATAACTGCTTATTACTTGAGAATTTTTTTAAATACATATACAATTGCTGACTTTCTGCAGGACGTTGATGACTCAAAGGACAATTTAGTTATATTGTTAGAATTTAATGCTCAGCATTGTACATTGGAAAATCAAATTGACAATCAGCAAAAATCAACCTAGTTCAAGGTATTGAGCTGCAGTGATTTATGTGAAAGTCATGTGTCGAGTGGACCAGGTTCAGCCACCAGTAGAATTCAAGAAATTCCAAATGAACCAGCATGTTCCCTGCTGTGCACTAGAAATTTCTATGGGAGTAGGGCTACATGGTAGATGAGATCATTTCATGAAATAATTTTAATAGAATCAATGCTAATGAGCATCCTCTGTCATTCATTTTTTGCATTTTTTTTGGCCTCGGAACCTGCTGTTGTTAGTATTGGAGTGTTGCGATTGCTGTGCTATCAAGTGACAGGATAGACTAAATCGTGAGAGCGCTGGGCTCCCTGGGGAGAGCTACCTGGCAGGACAGAGCGACCGCGTGAATCAGGTCCTGGTGACCATCGCCACGGTTCTTGTCGTCTTGACTGTGCTCACCCTTCCCCACCAAGGAATCAAAAAGATGAGCTTGATTTTGTTTTTTTGTTTCTAAGCACTGGGCAGTAGTAGTAGTTCTAAACTTTTTACCTACTCTAAGGCTTTCTCTGTGCCCAGTGATCTTCCGGCTGCAGGCAGCCAACTTACTTTATGGCTACATTAGAAATTTAGGGAGGTTCGAAAGTATCACATCTGTTTTTCTCCCACACTCACCGTCCCTTGTCACCAATGCCCTTTGCTTTCTCTTTTCCAGTTCCATCTCCTGCCACATTTTTTCCCTCCTTACTTCCTCTCCCGTCCCTCTCCATGTCAGCCCCACACTAAAGTGTACAGTCTCATGCTGGAGTTAGGCTCTGTGCTCCCACAGATGTGCACACGCACACACATTCACACACACACACACACACACACACACACACACACACACACACACAGAGGAAGGTGGGCTCTCATGTACATATTACCTAGCAACTTGGTATTTTCCACCTGCAGTCATTCCTGTGGGACGTGTTAATAATTACATAATATTCCATGATGTGAATGTGACACGGGGTTTATATAATTTTCCCTCACTGTGAACATTCAGCTCCCACCCCTATCCCTTTGGCCACTACATACCATGTCCTGGTACATCTATCTTTCCTTGGTAAGGCTTTTATTTCTATAGTATAATGAATAAGCCCTGAGTCTCACCTACTGATACAATCACGACCCTTTTGTTCATGACAAATAAGTGCACACTGGCATCACTTTCCAGCCAGCTAAGCATGAGCCCTCTCTGTGAGATAATGAGAGGGACAGCATAGTCCTTCTGATCTTTGCTGTACATAGCCTAAAATAAACCGAGGTAACAGGAATGGCAGGGATTGAGCGAATCTTGGAGAGACTTGGTGTGATCGTGCCAAATGTTTATCATCTGTAAAAGCATATTGAAATTTCTACAGTTTCAGCATAATTGAGTTCTTCATTTTAATGAAATAAATGGAGCCACTAGGAAGCCGTAACAAAATGGCTATTTGGCATTGTGAAACACAGTGACATATTCAGATGAAAAGCCGTGAAATGTTAAGCTGACTAGCAATTTTGACCTTGACTCTTGGCTGATTGTTTCTTAAGGTAGAATGGAATGCACATATGTGCTGACAAGTGCACACACACACGCACGGCAGTAGAAGTCTGGTTTGGGCTCCAGGGCTAAGCCACCTCCATGATCTGTCCGTGGACGCTGAGTCCCACCTGCGCCCTGGCTGGGTGTGATAGGAGGCATGTTTTGAGTCAAAAGTGGCAATCAGCACAAGTTGTTCTCCATGGTCCTTTGGAAAGAAATCTATAAAGAAACACGTTAATAACACCATCTCGCATAAATGGGACTAGATTATAGGTTGCCGATTCAGTTCTCAGTGCGAGGTAGAATGAACATTTTAATCACATTCAGTGCTCTCTACTGCACTTCCAAATTTCCGTGAGCTGATTAGTCCCATGAACTGTGATTAGTTCCAGGAACAAGTAACTGATGGAAAGTCGTACAACTTACAGGACTCAATCCTGAGACTGTCCACAACACAGCCAAGTTATTTTAGTTTATCAGTGTCCTCATAAATACCCTTTCCAGGGATGCTATAATTGTAAAACTGTCCTGAAGGTTTTCAGAATGGAGTTTTCTGAGGGCATATCTCCTTGCCTCTCCCCAAAAATAACTCACCGGGGAAGAGGAGCACAACAGATTCCACTCAGTTCTCCATGTAGCCAAAGCATTTTTGGTCATCATGTAAACAATAGTAGGTCAAAGCTTGATAGCATGTACTTCGCCAAAAAGACCGATTGACCGCTCACTTAGCTTACAACTTGGGTTCTGACTTGCTTCGGCAGAGACGATTTTTGCAACACCTAGGTAAAAAGTAGCCTGGCGGTAGCTCTTTTGTATTAGTGCCATAGCTAGAGAAGTGGGGAAGAAAGAGCTTCAAAATACTCATGGGAGGATCAAGCCTGCATGTTGGTGTTTCTTCTGTTCTGGCTGAATCCCACACCTAGATCCAGGAAGCTCTGTGATCCGAGTGTTGGAATGGCCGTTATGGAGCCTTCGGGAGTTTATCTGGAAATCTGTCCATGGAATAGTTACTGCAGTTTTGCAGAAAGTTTTCTTACAAATTACCTTGCCTGGTAAACATGTTTTAGAAATAACCATCGAGGCCGCTGGTTCATGGCCTCAGTTTTTTGCTGGAATGTGCTGTCGAGCTCATGAAGTAGAGTATTTAGCCTTGTTAACTGAAGTCCCCAAATTCCATGGCGGCATCCTTGATCATGCTTTCTAATTCAGGGTCCTGCAGCAGACTAGGGACTCTCTGATGTGACTCTCTCTGTCAAGGCACATTGTTGGGACAAACACAGGGAGAAGCTGGGCTAAGAGATTTCTATCCTCAGCCTACTAAGAAAACTACACCTAGTAAAACATCTGGAGAGTCAGAAGATCCTAATCAGGGAGGATGTACCCAGAACGAAGCAGTTTCCTTTTGTAACCTCACGTAGTAGATTATTCCTGACGTTTGGCCTCTTGCTTCTTTTCCATTCTCCTGGGAACATTGGTAGCCGTGGTTGGCATCTTGTTTCTGAGCCCACCTCCCTTAGAGTAGCACCCCTCTCCCAGTTAGAGATCTTGTACGCAGCTTCCCAACACCCAGTACTTCCTCCTGGGACAGCACTGACCTCAAATGTCCATCTCATTGCCTCCATGACTCACTGAAACAGCCTCGCTATTCCAATATTTCTCCACCCCGACTGCATATCTCGCACTGCTTCTCATAAGCAGAAGTGTCTCAGGAATCCTTTTTCGATCTAATTTGGACTATGTAAATATAGTCACTTTATCCTAGATGTGTCTCTAAACCCGGAAACTGCCTTTGCTTCCTTCACCCTTTACAGAGACAGACTCTGCATGGGCAGACAGGGTAAATACAGCCTCAGTTATCAGGCTGCTTTGGAATTCTCACCTCGGATTGCCAGGTGGCTTCTTGAGCTGGGGCAGTTGAGGCGTCCTGATCAGTCTTCTTGATTATATGCCACTCATGTGAACACAGACCTCCCCTGAAAGATAGAAGTGTCCTAAGCTGATGACGAATTTAAGAATAAGCAAGGAAGGAGCACGTCCCCGTAGCAGCTATATTGAGGAAAGAATATTCAGAGCATTCTTATTACAGACAATAACATTTGACAATCCCTTTATGCTCTACATGGCTTGACAGTAAAATTTAGTAACTAAAACCTATTATTGTGTTTTTCTCTTTCCTGATGATCACACTAGCAATGACCCTTCGTAGTTAAGACTTCAGGGCCTTACGACTGAGTTCTGTAAGATTTTGGACTCCATAGCCATACGGGGTTCATTGCACAGTAGATCTGAAGCTGCTGGAAATCTGTTGCTGTTTACCAGACACCGATGTTCTTGGTACAAACAGAATTAACTTACTTTCTCTAGAAAAAAATAATTCTCTGGGTGTACATTACTTTATTAAACTGATTAGAAAACAAATGCAAGATATTAAATAATAATGATTTCTTACACAAACAGCCATCAGTGGCCTATGTACATACCACGCCGGGCCTACCTTCAGGCTGGGAAGAGAGAAAAGATGCTAAGGGACGCACATACTATGTCAATCATAACAATCGAACCACAACTTGGACTCGGCCTATCATGCAGGTATGCAGATCGCCGTACAACTGGAAATTGCAGGCGGTGGAAGCTCCACGTCCCTGATATTTATGTATAGTTCTGAAAAAAAACCACATTTTAGAAATCTTTTTTTTTTTTCCCTCAAGGAAAATGCATTATTTTAAGCGTAATATTTGCCTAAGGAAGAATTTGCTCCCTAGATCAGTTTATCCCTAGATTTATTTTTTAAATGTCACGTGAAAGATATTTTCAAAGTAAGAGCCTATTACAGTGTGTAGCTTCTCTCCCAACCCCCTTCTTCCCTGAGGCTAGTTTTTATGTTGGGCTAGTGATTCATTTTTATTTCCCTTGAATGTGTTCTCCCATTATTATGTTTAATCATTTCCTCCATGCTTTAAATAGGCCAGACCTCTTATTATTGCTGGCTGTGTTGTTGTTTGGGTCCACAGCCCTCATCACACACACACACACAGGGAGATCCTCATGTGAAGCTAACTTGTTTTTGCCTCCAACATAGCTTGCAGAAGACGGTGCATCTGGATCCGCCACAAACAGTAACAACCACCTAATCGAGCCTCAGATCCGCCGGCCTCGTAGCCTCAGTTCGCCAACAGTAACTTTATCCGCCCCGCTGGAGGTGAGAAGGCCGCTCCTCTAACCGGGGTCACGTCTGTCCCGTGACTTCTCATTCTCTCTTCTCTCTTAACTTGGACTTCCGTTTTTGCAGCCACTTTCCTGTCTCTGACCCGTCATTGTGTTCGTGGTGAAGGGTGTTCTCGTGCAGCCTTACTACATGCTTCTCTGTTCCGCCCGGCTCACATCTGATTTTCATTCTCATTTGGCTGAGGCCGTGGTGACTTGCGCTGGACGTGTGGGCACCTCTTTTCAGAACTTTCTCCATTCTTGTGTTTCGCTCCTTATTGCTTGTGACCTCATTAGACGTGCATAATAACTCTTTCAAATACCAATGCTTATATTGAGTTTTAAAAAAAACAGCTATGGCTTTGATCATTTTGTTTTTTTCTTTTCGACTCTAGGGTCTCTCATTGTATGGGCATACGTGTTTCTGATGCATATTTGCATCTGTAAGTCATTGCTGGGCATCTGCTTGTGCTCTCCTGTTTGTGCGATTTTAGTGCCATCCCTTAACATCACAGGTGTCAAAGAATCCAGAGAGTAAACAGTTGAGGTGCTAAACTTGACTGTGTCTTAGAGATAGCTGTGGGTTTCTCTGTGCCCTGGGCTTAAGATGCTGCTAAGCGGGAATGGACAGTAGCTTTTCCAGACTGTGATACGTCACGGGTAACTGTGCGATTCCAGGTGGTCGTCTCTGATGATACAGGTTTTCTTCTTTGTGCTCTGCAAATTGCCAGTCCAGTCCCTATTAGACTGTGAGCTCATTAAGAGCAGGCGTGCTTTGCTCTACCCTCTGTAAAAATCTCCATCCATAATGCTCAATATTTGGGGTATGTACCCAGTAGCTATCAAAAGATGGTGGTTATAAGTCATTAACGTTGTGTGTTTAACCAATAGGAAAACCTTAAAGTTAGAGCGATTTAAAAATAAAAGCATGATGGAAACAGATTTTTTAGGAGCTTCCCCCATCCCTTTTCAAAGAGGAGCATTCCATGATACCCAGGTACATTTTGACACATCTGGCAAATCACATGACAAGAGTTCTAATGCGCATTATTATTCCTTAGGGTGCCAAGGATTCACCCATACGTCGGACTGTGAAAGATACCCTTTCCAATCCACAGTCCCCACAGCCATCACCTTACAACTCCCCCAAACCACAACACAAAGTCACACAGAGCTTCCTGCCACCGGGCTGGGAGATGAGGATAGCGCCAAACGGCCGGCCTTTCTTCATCGACCATAACACAAAGACCACGACCTGGGTAAGGTTGCTGCTTTTATTTGGCTCCGTTTTCGTCGTGAGGTCTGGCATGGATTCCTCATTTCTTCATTCTGTATCCATGATTCTTGTGGAGAAATTTCACCGACATTGACGCTTGTCTCCAGAGGGTCTTCTCAGCCTGCTTCGGGACCCCACATGTGTGGGCTGGTGGGAGCAGGTGACAGCAGGTGAAGTACGGGTGTGGGTTAAGGACCAGCTTTGGTCTTGGCACCGGATCGGATGCCTTTTCTTCATAGCCCTCCTCAAAAGCTCTAGTTTTGGCAGTTTATCATATTTGGGGGGCGGGGGGGAAGCAGTGCTCCATATTGCTAGGATTTTGATGTTACTGCTTCACATCTCATGATACTGTAACAGGAAGTCTAATCTTTTTTAAAATAATTTTTTAGAACAAATTTTGTCAGTTTCTTTTTGCATTTTTATTGACATTATTCATCTTTCTTTGATTTGTCCTTTTAGTTTTTACTGTTCACCTCAGATGAGTATTTTATACTCTCGTGCTACAGTTCATACCTTTAATTGTGGGTTAGACGTACTGAAGGACTTTGGTTGTAAATTTGTGAACATCTCGTCTAAATTGGTTTTTCTTATCACTCTGCTCTTCCATGTGCCCTTGAGTCATACAGGAGAAAGAATCTGTGTACAATATTAACTCGGGCAAGGTGAGATTAATTAAAAGTAAATATGCATATCTTTATATTCCTCTGCCAATTCTTTTTTTTTTTCCTGAATCAGTGATGACTTATTTAATGTAAGCATATAGTCCTTTTAAAAGTCAGTGGTGTTTTTCTACTCTGTGGTCTCTATACTTATATTAAACTGAAATTGGTTCTCTTGTTTCTATTTCTGATGCTGCATAAGATTTGTTTTTCTTGCCCCATTTAATGGTCTGAGTACAGAGTTTAACTCAGTCCTTCCAACATATGTGCTGCTTGCTTAGAACTGATGTTACGTGAAAGCCAGTTGAGTTTTGGTGATTGTCATAGGCCCTAGTCTTTGGTCTTGGATCAATAGTGAGCACACACTTTAAGTTCCCATTTCTAGTGAAAACACTGAGTGTCCAGTTGATAGAACATCAAGCAGTAGTACTGTGTTAATGAAGAGGCCCGGACCTAAATGACCAGGTCTGTCATTTATGCGTTGCCTGTCGTGTAATGTTAATTCGGTCCCTTGAGAACTGGACTAGATGGCCCAGATAGCTTTCTCTCCCAAATGCTACGGATCATGGTACAGCACATCTCCACGAGGGCATTGTCGGAATTTGGGGCAGGACTGTGGCTGTGCCTTTTTATTGCAGGACATTTAACATCCTTGGTTCCTGCCCCTGAATGCTAATAACCACCATTTCACCCACTACCTCCACCATACTAATGGCCTAAAATGCCCCCACACATTTCCAAACACCCCTTAGTGAGAACCACTCTAAAAGGTCTTCCTATTTTGAAGTACAGGAATAGCCTACCAAGAGAATTTATCATTTAGATCCTGGTGGCATTCATTAAACTCATAACTACCTCTAAGGCATATAATAACATGTAGCTTTGTGTGACTCACCTTTGAGTCTGAAGGTGATATTACAGGCTTGTGGAGAAGATGAGCAGAGGGATAGGCAGCTTTGGGGAAAACATGCTAATGGACATTGGTTTTTTAAAGTCTTCTTTCCTCATTGACACACGACCTGTGGCTGTCCTGCTAGTGTCCCCATTCCGACAAACCCTCAGCCAGAAATGAGAACTCCAGAAATAGGGAGTAAATATTGTAAAAGTGGATGGATTAGTGTATGGAGCCACTGTGGCTTGCCAACATAAGCTATGATTTTAGTAATTTGAACTGGCTTAGTAATCAGATCCCCTAACCTTTCCACAGCCTTTCACGCCATCACTGCGGTGTAATTGCGGCTGGGCAGATTTTATTTTAAACAGCACTAGTTTTATTTACTGCCTGCATCGTTGCTGAATGAAACCTAGTTTGAATTTCCAGTTGTCCCTTTTTACCCAGATACTCGTTATTGGCTAATTGACTGATTTAGAACTTTAATTCATTAAAGCAACAAAAAAAAGCTGCAGTTGTTGAAAATCCTTAAGGTAACAACTGCAAACCCCACACCTCACCGGCCTTCAGTAAGTGCAGATGTGCTAGCACAGCTCTGCCGTCTCTTGCAGACAGAGGCCCGTCGGAGGCACACGCCGAATTGCCTGATTATCTCGACAGAAGTTGGAGGGGTCGAGGAAACTGTAAAGATAATTTTCGGTTTAAACTCGGTTTTGAGGTGGTTTGGGTGTGCTTCAGTTTTTAGAAGAGAACAGCATAGCCGTTCTTAGATTTGAGCGTTATAATAGAAAAAGGAAGAAAAACTGGTAGGGCACATTGAGAATAATGAAGATAGTACTCTAGCGCCCTACGAGCTCTTGCTTCCCGCACTAACCAGAAGCCTAACGAGAAGCGGGGAGGTTCAGGCCAGCGTCAGCCTTACATACATCGGCAGAGCAGGTGCCCTCTGAAGTCTCTCATAGGAAAGCAGCGTGCCAGCGGTCCCTCTGAGCCCGAAAGCGAAGGCCTGCCCACGATGTGCTCATCCCTCAGTGACACCTGGAAGGGACACTAAGCCCATGAGATAGTGACAGACCCTGTCCATCTGAGGATTCCCTGTGGCCAGACTCGCCAAGAATTGGCTCACTTGTCCCCACCTGGGTCAGGCTGTGGATGCATGCTACAGGCCAGCGAGGGACCGAGCAGAGATTACAAGAGGCCTTCGGTTTGCCCGTTCTTTCTGCTAAGGAAGCAGCAGGAAGCATGTGTCTAAGAGTGCATATGCGTTTTTTACAGGGCAAAGCATTGGCTTTTTTTTATTAAATGGATTAGGGTAACGTTGGTTAATACAATTTTATAGGTTCCAAGTGTGCAATTTAATAACACGTATATGGATATTGCACTGTGTTCATCACCCAAAGTCAAATTGTTTTTGTAGCAAGAAAGATTATACCTTAAGTTTCAGGTTTGTTTTCTACCTGGGTCTAAACTAAAAAAACTTACTGTAGCCTAGGCATGCTTGTTGATCTCTTCCATGATGGAAAACCAGTCGTTTTTGAACCAGCGAGCATTCCCGTATTTATGTGTGTGTGTGTGTGTGTGTGTGCACATATGTGTGTGTTTATATGTGTATATTTTAATGATTCGATATCAATCTTTGCAGTCTGTTTAAAACCCCTTTCAGCTGAAGTGAGGGAAGCATTCGTGAAATGTAGAAGTAATTGTGAAATATTAAGAGCACAACCAAGTGTGCTTTTCATATTTTATTCATTTACACTCATATCATTTGAGACCTCATTCGTGTTCCAACTTATTGTCATCCCTAAAGTTGTCACAGCTCATTCGGGGCCTTGGCTGCCTGCCGTCCGCCTGCGCCATCAGCTTGGGGGTGCTGCCTCCGTGGTTGTTCAGGGGGTTCAGTGGCAGGGTGTTCAGTGTGTGCTCTCGGAGCTTGAGGGATGGCGGCTGCTGCCATTATTTTTGTTTTTCGCTGGTGTGATAAAATAATATGACCCGTAAGGGCCTCCAGCCCTAATGTTCTGTGAATTCTGAGTTTCCACACAAGGCTGTTATAGCAGACCTGGGAAATCAAGTCTATTTTATACTTTATGCTCCCCTCGCCTCCCCCAACCCCTACCTGTTACCACTTTAATTTCACCCTTTTTTCCCCTTTAAATCATCAGCTTTTTACCAAAAGAGCTGGTTGTCTTTCACAGTAGCCTGTGCGTGGTTCCAAGGCTGGCCTCGCATATAGCATCCAGAAGCCCCCTGCCTTCTTTCACATAACAGTGGTCTCAGGCTTTCTCTAAACCTAGCATGGGCAGGGGCTGTGTGGGTTCCCAGAGGTCCCCTGTGGTTGTGGTGTTGGCTGGTCCAGCTCAGAGTTGCATTGAGTGGATAGCGTTTGTGGAGTTTGGTGCTCTGAGTTTTTCCTCTGTCGTGGTTAGCCTATCACAAATGTTTCCCAGATTATCAGCTGCTTGGCTTTCTAAATCCTAAATCTACTTAGTATATCTGTTTGCACTGCATGTGTTCCAGTACGCTGCAGAATAATGGACCTATTTTATCCTTCTCTTTATCCTTTTAAAAAGCCTATTAGTGAGTTTTGGGGTCAATATCCATCATAAACTGCTCTCATGGTTTATTTCTTTAATTAAAAGTTTTCTATGGCTAACAGAAAGCAAAGGTTAATTTTATTTTTTGTGATGTTTTTTCTTATTCTTAGCAATTCCAAAAATCTATCACTTTGTTATAATCTAGTGATACTAATGGTTAAACTGTTGACTTGTGCAAAAAAAATTAACAGCTTTATTGGGATATAATTCACATAACATACAATTCACCCATTTAAAATATACAGTTGAATGCTTTTTAGTGTATGAAACAAAGATGTGAAACCATCACCATAATGAACCCCAAAGGCAACCCCAGAGCCATTAACAGTCACAAAGTGAGTTTTATTATTTTCCAAGGTTTATGCCAATTATTTCATTTTCTTGATGGGAAAATGCCGAGGCAGAAAACCTTTTAGTCATTTGACAGGAATAAAGGCTTTAACAGAATGAAATGAAGGTTATTTTTAAAGTTTTTTTTTTTTAAATCTTAAGCTTATTTGATAATTTATTATTCTGAGTTTTATCCTTTATTTTCTAATCTTTCGAGTTTGAAATGTGAATCCTCTCAGTTCCCATGTATTCGTTGGGTCTATACAAGTGAGAAGCAGCTCCCAGACGTGAGGTCAGAACCTCTAGGCAAGTTCTCACTCTCTCTGAAACACTTCCTTATCTGAAGAAGCAGCAGCCCCGTGCCCAGCTGTCTAACAGGGCAGTTGCAGTGTCATATTTCTGACTGTTCTTTGTTAATTATAAAGCATGACCGAGGATGTCACAGTACATATTTCTCTTTTGTTGGTTCTCTGTGGTATCTTATGAAAAAATCTTTTGCAAACCTTTAAATATTAAGACATAAATGAGAATCTAATCTATAGAACTCGAGAGTCTCAGGGAAGTTGGATAGTAGGCATCTGACTTTATGTGATGAAGTCGACTAACTCTGGGGTGCAACCTGACTTGACAGTTAGACCAGATTCAGATTCTCTGCTTTAGTTCAAGGGCGAGTAGAAGGGAGAAGCAGGAAATGCAAATGCTGATGGAGAGACTGTTCTTAACGTGTTAGGCCGGCTGGGAGGCCCCACTTCCTCTCTCTCGAGTCCAGCCTCCTCTTCCCTGGCACCCTTCATTCTGGTTTCCATAGTAACGTCACTACGGGGACTCTCTTCCTCTTCACCTGCTCAGGGTCTTGGGGAAAGCGGTTAACCTTTTATTTAAATATTCTTACTTTCCTTCTTTTACCAAGGACAAGGAGCAGGGAGAGTGGGATGTTTTTAGAGAGAGAGATTCAACCAGGCTTCCTGCACAAAGATGAAACCCTCCCCTCCCCTATCCTCCCCTGTACAGGCAGGAGTGCGGCTCCATGCAGAGGCCACCACAGCTCCAGAGGGGACGAGTCAGTAACCGCACACGGATTGTCACTCTTAACACCTCTGCCTTTAAATTTTTCTTGCAGGAAGATCCACGTCTGAAATTTCCAGTACACATGCGGTCAAAGGCACCTTTAAACCCCAATGACCTTGGCCCTCTTCCTGTGAGTACCCTGGAGACTCATGGACAAGTCTGAAAATGGTTATTCATTCATTTGCCTACTGTTGATGGAGAGGCCCTGTGACCTCTTTCTCCAGGCTTTCGGGGTCACATTATTCTGTAATTTCTTAATAGATTTGGGTTCTGTGGCTGAATTCTAACAGCACATACAGTTCATACAACACACCGTATGTGTGAAAGAAGTTTCTGAATTGCTAGCTTTTAGTAGAAGGTAGATCTTGTAACTGGGATGTAAGAGGCATTCTTTCCAGGTGACAGTTTAAGCAGCACACGTTTATTTTGTAACTTAGCAACCACTGAGTTCCACCCATAATGCTGATTTCGTCGTAGGGACAAAAGTATTTAAAACAATGGGAGAAAAAGACATGGGTAATCTCAGAAGGTTTTTATAAATCCTTTAGCCTACAGATGCTTTCAGTTTCTCTCCCTGGTTGATGACTTTATAAATCTAATTTTTTATCAGTTTGTTCTCTTTTGGGGCCAGAGTAGGATTAAGCTATTTACTCCAAGCTGGATTTTGAATGCAATTTTCACCATGCATCCTCCTCAACCCACCCCCCAGCAGGGGCACGAAGTGAGGGAGACTCTCAGACTATTTTAAACTGGAAGGGCGCTGGGGAAACTTCGGTGGTGGTTTTCCAAGTGTAAGAGCCTTTTTTGTTACCTGGTATGTGATATAATGTGGCAAAACTTGAAGCCAGGCAGGTTAGGGTTCAGTCTTCATTCCTCAGGTTATATGAATATCCCTCGCTCTCCAAATCTGCTTGGTTCCTGATTTAGATGCAAAGAGCCCAGAGAAAACGTCTGGAGAGTGAGTTGAGAAAAAGAAAGACTCCTGCCTGTGGTCTGGACCCTTTGGGTTCCTGGGCACAGTTCAGATACTGAGAGCACACCAGCCCCCTCTTGAAAAAATTATCCGAGTCCGTTTGGTTCCTGAGGTCGAACAGTGAGGGTTCACAACAGAGGATTACGGATACCAGACTCTTCCACCAATGACCTGAATAAAGCATCTGTTTCTAACGTTTTCATATTAACCTGCCTCGTCCCTTTAGTACTCAGTAAATATTTATTTTATTATATGAGCCATTCCACCCCAGATTCAACGGAAGTGTCCCTTGGGAGCTTTTGAAATAGCAACCCGTTTCCCAATCCTCACACAGTGAATGCATTACTGAGACTGCGAACGTGTTACCTGCTGCTAGGTGTTGTCAAGGGTTAACTTGAAATGTTTGTGGTTTATTCTTCATGTAAAAACATACCCCAGGAGAGAAGAGTAAGAAAGGGCCCCAGAGTTTCTTAATTTTGCCTTTGATTTTTGACATGGCCAGCTAATGTTTATATTCTCTCTCTCTCTCTCCCCTCCCCCCATACTAGCCTGGTTGGGAAGAAAGAATTCACCTGGATGGCCGAACATTTTATATTGACCATAGTAAGTAGGTGCTGTTATGGACACTCAGGGATTGCAGGTACAGGGAGGGGGAAGGTAACCCAAATATTAGAGTGAAAGCTTTGTCATTTTACTCTCTGTCTAGGCAGCCAGGTGTTGTGTGGAGAGAATGATACCAGAGAATCAGTGCCCTCGTACGGTACTGTGCATTCACCCCAAGTTTGCTTTAAAATAGCCCATCGAGCTTTCACCCAATTGTGACCTATTAACTTTTTAATTAAAAAATATATATATTTTTTGGTTTATGACCCCTTTTGCGCTTTTAATAAATACACTCTGGTAATAGAAAATAAGATTAGAAGTGATGACTGAGTCAAAAATCTGTGTGTGTGCAGTGCTTGAAGCAGCATTTGAGTTGTTTACACACTGCCTTTGCAGGTCTTAGGGCAAGATGCCCGTTCTGACTTATTTTCTATTCACAGCATGTTTCCTTGCACCCAATACACTAATATATATGCGGTTCTTTTCTTGAAATGGTAGTATATTTGCTGTAGGCATTTGCTCCAGCACCTAAGAACGCGTGGTTTCTCATTTCAACTAAAAGTTAAACTAATAAAAGTTTGCTTTTAGCTCGTGGTTTTTTTTTTTTCTTTTTCGAAGTGACATGTTCTCCATATTTGTATATCCATTAAAAATTCTGAAGGTGTATATTAAAATGAAGTCTTTAAATATATGTAAGTTCAGACCACGTGCATTTCGGTAGTGTTTTGATCTTTGTTGTCATTTGATCTATAAACGGTAAGTCTGCTCCAGGTCTCCCCAGCCTCATGTTTTCCTAACTCGTCACCTTGATTAGTTAAGCACATTGATGAGCCAGTTTCTGGGAAGGCGGGCCTTGAGGAATCCTCACATGGCTAGGGCTTGTCACTGCCTCTTAGGTTCAGTGCCTCTTCTAGGTAGGATTTAGTCACCAAGTGCATCGGAGACAGACCTCTGCTTTCAGGCACGGAGGATTGAGGGGTTAGTATAAATTGAATTAAACAAGAAGCCCAACAATTCAGAATGAAACCAAAAGTAGGAGTCCTAGATGTGTTTAGTGGCACGGGCTACCTTTTTGGTATAAATCAAATAGGTCAAGGTACATAGGCCTAGTTTTTGTGTTTGACCATTCAAGATACTAATTTGCCTACTTCCAAGAATTTAAAGTGAGCATGAAATTGCTGTTACTAGTGCTTCAAAATATATGCATTTTCCTTAATGAACTATTTATAATTTTCTTAGAATAACTTGCTAGAAGAGGAGAGGATCATACCCCCTTTTTCCCATTAAAAACAAAAAAGTTTGTTTTTCAGTTTTTTTGTCCAGTACGATTTCCGTTTTCAAAGATAGGTACAAATAATAATGATCATTTCATTAAAGGCTTAACCGCTAACACAACCTTGGTGTGCTACACACGACACTGGCCTTGTTCCGGTGGGTGATCTCATCCTCAGGTCCACCTGTAAAACGCTTCATGAATGTTCTTACTGTCCCGCAAAGACCTAGGAACAAGAGAAACGCTGCTCAAAAGGGTCAACGTCGTGAACATCAGAAATAATAAAAACCAGGGACTGCCTTTTCTAATGGCGCGGCTAGTATAATGTGTTGTAGATGCTTTGGTGACTCCAAGTTGGTTCGTGGACAGTCAGCGTGATGGTGTTAGGAAGTTTGTGTCTGGTCAGAAAGGGGAAAGACGCTGCCCTGAGAAGCAGCATTGGTCCCTCCAGCCCCAGGCCTGCCTTCTCCTGTGTGCAGGGAGGCGGGAGAGGGTAGTTGGTTGCCTGGTAAATAAATTCCCAGGCAGTTCCTTCTTCCCAGTCGGTCCCCGCCTCCCTCCCT